ATGTTGTTTTTCATCTGCGGTGACGCGAGTTACTGGTCATCATAAGTATAAATATCACACCCACCTATTGTTCGGGGGAGATCGAGGCTGATGTTTTGCAGAGCCCATCTTCACCACATATATGCGTTTTAATAAAATCATTTGTGTTGACCCACTATGGACTTTCAGTCGTATGTCTCTTCTCAAATAAGAACCAGGTAACAGGTGCCATCTCCAACAGCGATGAGGCGGCCTACATTGACGAAGTGAAGAATCTGGCATCATGGTGCCAGGACAACCATCTCCAGCTGAACGTTGGCAAGACCAAGGAGCTGGTGGTGGACTTCAGAAGGAGTCAGCACAGAGACTACAAGCCCATTATCATCAATGGAGCTCCAGTGGAGAGGGTGCAGTCCTTCAAGTATCTTGGTGTCCACATCTCCTCAGACCTGACATGGGCTGCCCACATTCAGGTCCAGACCAAAAAGGCTAGGCAGCGCCTGTATCACCTACGACAACTGAGGAAGTTCAGGGTCTCTCCAAAGATCCTCAGGATTTTCTATACAGGCGCTGTGGAGAGCATCCTCACACAGAACATGACATCGTGGTTTGGGAACAGCTGTGTGAAGGACCAAAAAGCTCTCCAGAGAGTGATCCGTACAGCAGAACGCTGCTGCAGGATTGCTCTCCCCCCGCTTCAGGACACCTACACCAGGAGATGCCGGACTAGAGCAGCGCAGATACTGAAGGACCCGTCCCATCCTGGCAACAAACTGTTCCAACTTCTGCAATCTGGTAGAAGGTTCCGCATCTTCCGGGCAAGGACAGAGAGACTCAAGAGGAGCTTCTATCCCCAAGCCATCCGGGCCCTAAACCATAACAAGCCCTCCCCCCACACTCACACACCCGCCATCTCACAGCATCCATAAGTGACTCAGACAGGACTCTCTTCTAGACAGTCTGAACCCACCGGCACAATGTACATTTCAATTTTTTAAAATTTTTAATATGTTCAGTTTGTCTATTTTGTAAAATGTTCAAATAGTGTATTCTTATTTAATTCATTTAATGTAGAGAATTCATCCACTTGCTGCACACAATGCCACTTACTGCATATAGTGTCCCCCGTGTATATATTCACTTAATGTATATATTGCTCTTCCCACTGTAAACACATTATTCAGACAAAAAACATTGCGTTTATTTTTTATCATAACTCTAGTTTTACGTGGCCAGTCAACATGATTTAAAACTGGTATATAGTTTGAAGTCCGGGCTTTCGACTCTGACTCTGGGTCGCTGCATCTTGTTGCTGTGCCATCTTAAATGGGTTAAGAAATTAATATAGCCACTACAGTGACCATCAAAACAATGAAACAATATTGCCGTAAACAGTTTATTTTGTGACAGCATGGAACAAATGATAGTGTAATATGAAACGATAGATGTTTTTATATCGTCATCTGCTATATATCATTATATTGAACAGCCCTAGGGGCATGGGTGTCTCTCTTCACTCTCCTGAAGTCCACAAGGAGCTCTTATATGTTTGCTGGTATTCAGGAGCACGTTATTGTCAGCACACCATACAACTAGGTGCTTTACCTCTTCCCTATAGTCAGACTCATCATTGTCACTGATGAGACCAATCACTGGGGTCATCTGCAGACTTGATGATGCAGTTGGATCCATACCCTAGGTCTGCAGTCACAGGTGAAAAGGGAGTAGAGGAACGGGCTCAGCACAAAGCCCTGTGGAGTGCCAAGGTTGTTGTCTGTAAGGGTGATGGCGGTAGTGCATTTTTGGCATGACTTGACATGTTGGTCAGAAAGTCCAGATGGAGTTGCTGATTCCAAGTTTAATAATCAGTGTGGAGGCAATAACTGTATTGCATGGTGAGCTGAAGTCAACAAAGAGCATTCTTGCATAAGTAAGTAAAGTTTATTTATATAGCCCCTTGCACAGACGTGTCACAAAGTGCTTTACAAGAAAGGAAAGAAAACACAATACAGTCATAAATACATCATAAATACAACATAACCCCTTGTCTAATTAAAAGCTTTTTGAAATAAAAATGTCTTTAGCTGCATTTTTAAGTTCTCCACCGAGTCCAGACACCATAGAAGTAGAGGAAGTGCAATCCACAGTCTGGGTGCAACAGCTTGGAAAGATCAGTCCCCTTGAGTTCTAAAACGAGTATGGGGGACCACTAAAAGGTTTTGATTTGATGACCTCAGGTTGAGAAGGGGTATGTGTATGAATCAAATCAGCAATATAGGGAGGGGCATGTCCCTGTACTCTAAAGGTTAAAACTAAAAAGGAACCTAAATCTGATTGGTAGCCAATGAAGCGACTTTAAAACAGGAGTCATATAAGCTCCCTTAATCGATCGGGTCAGTAGCCTCGCTCACTCTACAACGGCTGTAGACGAGCTAGCCCTTTCTTGTTTAGAAAAGTAAACAGGCTGTTACAGTAATTGAGTCTTGTAGAGACATAAGGATGGATTATCATCTCAAGTTCACTTGTTGACATGATGGATCTAAGTTTTGAAACATTCCTCAAGTGAAAAAAAGCTTACTATCTTACTTACTACCAGCTGATTTAAATTCCCCCCAAACAAAAAGCTTCATCAAAAGTAACACCTAGATTTCTAAGGTTACGCTTCTGTGAGGAACCTAAATCACCGATTTGCTGTTTAATATCAGGCATTGGTCTGGTGCAACAATCAAAGATTCTGTTTTGTCTGGGTTTAGCTGTAAGCAATTGTTGTTCAACCATTGTTTAATGTTGGTTAAACACTCAATTGGAGCAGAGAGCTTATGAACTTCAGAAGGCTTAAATGACTATTATAGCTGAATATGATCAGCAAAAAGATGATAAGACGCATCAGGAGACTGCCATATTTTCTGTGTGCAAAAGGGCAAAAGCTGTTCAGGCATGTAGGTGATGAGTGTTTTGGCACTGGCGTGATGGAGGAAAGAAAGAAAATGGAGTCCATAAAATGAAATACATTTGGTTTTCTTTTTGTTTCCTGCTTGAAAGATGACCTAAAGTATATGATTTCTTCCTTGCTGTTCAGGCTTGTTTTATTTTTATTTACCAAAGTTAAATTCTGTCCATCACTTATCTAATTAATGTCAAGCTTAAATGCATATTACATTTCTATAAGCTTTAGTATTTGGAGACTTCAAGGAGCCCTTATTGTTTTTCATGCTTCCTATGTCTGCTTTGATTTCTTGATTTTTAAGTTTTGTCTTTTGGCCTCTAAAGGGTCCTTTTTTGTCACTTCCTCCACCTCTACATATATACCTGTCTTCAGGATTCATTTTTAAATCCTCACCCTTTCATAAAAAAATTTAACAGAGAAATTCACAGTCAGGCTGTATGACAGTCAGTGTATGTAGTCCATCTACACCATCACTCTTCATCTCACTCACTTAGTTCAAACATGATAAATTTACCGTCTGTTCTACAGACCTGCCAAAGCTCATCAAGCATTTCTATTTGGTTGTTGTATCACAGGTTCTAAAAACTTTCTGATTATTAAGCTTTAATAATTATTTATTTTTCATCTTTTGATAAAGCTATGCTAAAAGTTATCCCTGCTTTTAGTGTCTGCAGTAAGTTAGGATAAATGTATGCAGACCTGTCTCTGTACAGAGATGTGATCTTAATCTGGTCAAAAGGGAGGATGAAAATTTCCCTTAAAAATCGCTGCACCATTGAACATACAGAGATTACAGATGGACCGATCCGATATTACGTATCGGTATCGGTCCGATACCGACCTAAATTACTGGATCAGGTATCGGAGAAAAATAAAAAAATGTAATCCGATCCATTAAATATCAAAAAAACATCTCACAAAACTTGCGACATGGCGATACTCGGCTCACAACCGTAGCACGTCGCAGCAGTGTGCATCACGTGATAGAGCGGCTGTGTGTATTTGGCGCCTCGCTACCAAACCAACATTTCATCTCCGAGGAAGTGATCCCAGAGAGAAGTAAAGCAAGTGTGTAAGTTCATCTCTGAATGTTAGTAAAGCATTCCAGCCTTAAGCTTAACAACCGATATATGGAGCGACTGCCTCTCTCTCTCTCTCTCTCCCCCTCCCTCTCCTGTTGCTACTTCAATCATGAAACTGATCAATGATCAGCTGATCGGCTTTTCTCTCTTGTTTGTTTATCGCCCACTTCGCGGCACAAAGAGGAAACCAGCGGCTGAACAACGGCAGAACGTTTAAATTTGATAAGCTGTTGTTAGAATTTAGTTAATATTACTTTGTACACCAGGATCTTTTTCTACGCAGCTGACGGCTGGTAACTGTGCAGGGGCGGGGTCTAACAAAGTTTAGCCAGGGGGGCCGATAAGGCATTAACAGGGAAAGGGGGGCACAAAGACATACTTTTCTTTCTTATTCTCATTTAAAATGTCTAGCTTTTAATAAATAATTATCTGAATCTCACACCCAAAGTTTTAATCTGCTGTAAAATGTATAGAAGTCCATTACTGTATATAGTAACTGTTAAGTCTAATATACCCTAGTAAGCTATAGTACTTTTTCCTTTGGGAAGATACCATCTGTGCAGTCTGCAGTTCTGTTGAAGAAAGATGTTGAACCTATTTAATTATTCTTGGAAAATAATTTATTTCTGTGCATTTTTTTTCACACTGCATCAAATTAAAGTTGATTACGTCGATTAAGCATCATGGGGAGGAGGGTGGGGGGTGGTTCCCTATTTTTTTTTCCTTTGCTGGGAGTTTTAGAGCCCTATTAGTTAGGTTGCTTACTCTTTAAAATACCAGAATAGGAAGGATGGAGTAGGTTTAAGTTTATTAGATTGATCAGTATTGCTGAACTATGAAATATTTTGGGTGCAGTGTATTTTTTACATACAGGTATAACAGAGTAGATTTAGTGTTTTGTTTTGTTTTTTTACTTGAGTATGAACTTATACAAAAAGCAGCAAGATATTAAAAAAACAGTTTTATGGATTAAAAAACACACTATATCGGATTCATATCGGTATCGGCAAATATCCAAATTTATGATATCGGTATCGGACATTAAAAAGTGGTATCGTGCCATCTCTAACAGAGATCTGTCCAAGTGGTGAATAAATGGTAAGCAAAAGTCAGTTATCATTAATGTTTCTGCAAATGTTTCCAGCTCTTCTTCCTCTATCCGACATTCTCTCCATACCTGAGAGTGTCCAGTCTCCAGCATGGATCCTTCAGTTGAGCCGACAGCAGCTTCATTCCTGAGGCGCCTGGATGATTGTAGCTCAGGTCCAGCTCTCTCAGATGGGAGGGGTTGGAGCTCAGAGCTGAGGCCAGAGAAGTACAGCCCTCCTCTGTGATCAGACAGCCTGACAGACTGCAGACACACAAAACAATTGACCTGAAAATGCTTCAGTCAAATTTTGCCTTTGTTCTTCTTTTTTCAGATACAATGACCCTCACTCACTCTATCCATTCAATTGAACCAGGTCCGGGCCAGCCAAAGGCGGAGCCTGCCCCGAGTGGTGGCCAAAATTGCAGCTACATAGCAAAAGAGGCGGAGGTGGGAAGAGCTGCAGGTTTGGTGGAGCGTGGGCTGAAATGCTGCTGCAGTTGAGATTGACTCAACTGCATGGCACCTACAAGCATGTCTTTCCGGCTTAAAATCTGTGCTCTGCTAGCTGTTGATGGTTTTTGTTACAGCTGGCAGCAGGACAGCTGCAGTCATTTGAATGTATACCAGCAACCGTGTCAAAAGTGTACAATAAAGATGCTAAAAAAGCATAGAAATGTCATCTGGTCTGCCGTGGTTTATTACACGGTATTTGACTACAGATGGAAGGAAGATATCCATTTTAATGTGAAGATACTGCCAACAGAACCAGGATGAGGGAAAATTGAAGAGAAAAAAAAAACATAAACAGCAAAATACAATCTACAAGAGAGCAGAGATAAATGTTAATGTGCTCAAGTTGCAGAAGAGTGGAGAAGAAATGTTCAGTACTTCATGGGAACTCCCCCAGTAGTCCAGACCTGTGGAAGCGCGACTCAGGATGGATTCAGGGTCACCTGATCCACCCCTACCTATATGCTTTATCAAAAATGAAACCCTAACCTTACATATCTATATTATTGCTAATATATATTGTAATATATCTATATCACTAAAGCACTTCTGGATGGATGCAAACTGCATTTCGTTGCCCTATACCTGTGCATGTGCAATGACAATAAAGTTGAATTCTATTCTATTCTATTCTATTCTATTCTACCCTAAGTCTATTTTTAAATACTCTAACGAATCACAAGTAAGGCTGTTTAATGCTCACTGCTTACCTCGTTGCATGGCAGTGAGCACTGAAAATGATGTCACATCATCCGTTTTAGTGTTGCTTCAGCTGGTTGTGCACATAATGATTATTTTTAACCTACCACATGGAACTATCACAGCTGGGTTGGAAGCAAAACTATTGCATCAGTTTTTCTACCATTTTAATTACATTTCAGTACAGAAGGTCTCAGAGATTTACAGATTAAACAGGAGGCATTGCAACAGTTTGAAAATATTAGACTAGGTTGAAAAAAAATTCTCTAGTGTTGTTGCTTCTAGTTCTGATTTCTTTTGCTTCCAGTTTTGATCTCTTTTTCTATATCATTGCTGATCTGGGTGAGGGTATACTGGTGACCAAAGGCACCAGAGTAAAGTGCTCTGCTTGGAGAATACGGTCTCATGAGGTCTTTAACATATCATTGAACCTGAATAAGCAGGACTTTGTATAGCGGAAGAATTTGGATTTTAATTCTTGTTTCAACAGGGAGCCAATGATAAGGACCTAATATGGGATAAATATAGTTGCTCTTAGTAAGATGAAATGATGATTTCAATTTTTTCAATACTGATCACGGGAAAGAAAGCAGAATTATATTTTGTCTTTAATGTGCATATTAGAGGACAAAAAATAGACCGCATTTGATCACAAGATTAATTGTACTGTTATGAAAAGAACAGAGCTTTACAGCTTCTCTCTGAGAGGAAACAGCCACTTAGTCTAAAAACAAAGAACACACACACAAACCTGAATTTAATGTGTATTGATGGGGCAATGACGAGTTGCTAGAATAGCTAATTCCTTATTTTAAACACATTATAAATGTCGCAATCTACTGTGATTTAGAAATAATGAAAAAAAAAAAACCTATGACACAAAAATAAATGGAAAAAACTCACATTTAATATGTTTTAATTGGTTAGTTACATCATTTGATGAAAAAAAAATATCCTTTGATCTGACCTCAGAGTGTTAAGTTTCCAGTGTGGACTCTGCAGTGCAGTAGACAGAAGCTTCACTCCTGAATCTTTTAGGTCGTTGTTACTCAGGTCCAGCTCTCTCAGACTAGAGGACTGGGAACTGAGAACTGAGGACAGATCTTCACAGCTTCTCTCTGAGAGGAAACAGCCACTCAGTCTGAAAAATAAAATAAAATGGAGTTTCTGTTCAATACCAAAAACTTTAAATGTTCAACTTAAAGAAAACTGTTCTCAGTGTGCACTCATGCTATTGCAGCCACGTGATTGGTTTGGCAAAACACTGTTCTCATTGTCATTGTCTTTCCATTTCTTTAGTCTAAATGTGGCTAGAATGCACTCTGTTGACTTTGTATTGATTGTGCCTCGTGTTTTTATTGAAAAGACATTTATTGAAAAATAGCTAATTAGTATTAACAAACAAGAAGAAAATTCAAATCTTCACCTGAGCAGTGCATTGACAAAGAGAATTTGGTTAAGAAGATCAGAGCAGTAGTAAGAAAGGACATTACAGTAGGAGAACATCATGCATCGTTAACCTCCTAGGACCGGGCATTTACACATGTGGACATCGCGCACCGCGGATGACGTCAGTGCGCACACTGTGTCTGAGGAGGATGTGCGGAAGTGCTTCAGGAAGGTGAACGC